TTAGCTGTGCCCTCCTTAAAAGAGTCAACTATGCCATTGTAGCATGAAAGCAACGTGCAACCAATGACCATGGCTGTTCCCCAATAAAATTAAAAAGGAAAGAAAGAAAGAAAGAAAGAAAGAAAGAGAGAAAGAAAGAAAGAAAGAAAGAAAAAATACTTCTCTCCTAGCTGAGAGGTGGAAGAGGGGTTTTCCTGCCTGTCTTATGTTCTAGGGCCCAGCTGGGCCTGACCAAGCCCAGAGATTGGATAAAAATGGCTTGAATGAAAGGTGAGTGTAGGAGTGGACACTCCTTCCTGTGACTAGGGAAAGGCAGGCTCCAAAGTCTAAAGTGTGCAAGTGAGTGCCAGCAGGGGATTGATAGGCTTTGGAGAGTAGATATTTCATGGACTCAGAGGTATGCAGGCATAGTAGGTGCCTCATCTGGTGTCTCTTTTTAGGTGGCCGCCCTAACCCTGAACCACAGCCTCCAACCACCACGCCTGCAACCAAGCCCACCGCTCCCCCAGTGGTCTGCACCACTGGGCCTCCCACTGTCCGCCCCTCAGAGAGGCCCACTGCTGGCCCCACAGGCCCCCCTTCCGTTAGTCCCACGGGTCCCCCTTCTGTTAGCCCCACTGGTCCCCCCACTGCTGGCCCTTCTGCGGCCCCGACAGCATCTTTGGATCCATCTGAGGATGTCTGCAACGTGTACATCTTCGATGCCATCGCGGAAATCGGGAATCGCCTGCATCTCTTCAAGGATGGGTGAGGGGCAGGGACGTGGGATGAGGAAGGGGACTTGGAGGAGGGGCCTGCCTGTCCCCTCCCACCCACCGGTCTTTGGCTTAAGTGTCAGTGCCCCGTCATTCTTTTCATGTTCCCAGGAGGTACTGGCAATTCTCTGGGGGCCAGAGACGCAGGGTGCAAGGCCCCTTCCTTATCAGGGACACGTGGCCTGCGCTGCCCCATAAGCTGGACTCCGCCTTTGAGGAGCCTCTCACCAAGAAGATTTTCTTCTTCTCTGGTCAGTGTCCTCCTTTCTCCCTTCCCGCCTCCCCTGTTCCCCTCACCAATCTAGGAGGACCAAGAGGCCGCAGATAATCCATAAAACATCTCGTGCGGATTAGAAAAAGGTGCTCTCTCCTGGCGGATGCAATTTAACAAATTTCGCGGGGGGCGGGGGGGGGGATGAATTTCAGCTTCCCTCCTCACCGCACCCTTGCACAATCGTACTGAGCGGCTCTGCCTGTTGGGCACAAAAACTAAGGCTATGCCAGGCTTCAAAAGGCCTCGTTGGCTTTTCCCTTTTGATATCCAAGGAGAATGTGTGCCTTCTCCCTGCCCCCAGACCGATGCAACCCTTCTCCTCTGCAGGGCGCCAAGTGTGGGTCTACACAGGCGCGTCGGTGCTAGGCCCGAGGCGCCTGGACAAGCTGGGCTTGGCTCCAGAGGTGGCCCAAGTCACCGGTGCCCTCCCGCTAGGCGGGGGTAAGGCGCTGCTGTTCAGCAGGCAGAACTTCTGGAGGTGAGGGCCACCGGGACCGCCGGCAGGGGGAGCCCGGGCGAAATCCGCCTGTCGGCAGGGTCAGCACCTGTCTCCTCCTCGCCTTCCTGCAGGTTCGACGTGAAGACGCAGAAGGTGGATTCCAGGAGCCCCAGTCCTGTGGACCAGATGTTCCCTGGGGTGCCTTTGAACATGCACGACATCTTCCAGTACCGAGGTGAGGGCTGCAGACTGGGGTTAGTGGAGGGTCCCTCCCGAAGACACCTCCTCCCATGCTAGGTTCTCCTGCCTTAGAGATTGGTCAGATTCTGAGCGAGAAAGGAAAAGCCCCTAGCGATTGAGGGAAATGCCCTAGCGAGGGTAAGTAAACTCCCTATAAAGACAGGGACCTTTCCCAGATCATACAGGGACACAGGGGCACAACCAGAGTTTAGGATCCAAATTTCCCGCCTCTCCAGCTGGAAGCTCTTTCCCTTAGGTAGTGCAGGACACACGGTTTGCATGAAGGCTCATTGCTTTATTAGACAATACTTATGAAGCGCCTGTCCTGTGCCAGGCATTTGTGCTGCCCCTGGGAATATAGTGATAAATAAGGCAATTCATAGCTGTGTCTCTGGGCAAGTCACTGCGGCTTGCGGAGCCTCAGTTTCCCCATTTGGAAAATGGGAATGATAGCTGGAATTATACTTGCTTTCTCTTTCTCCCTGCTCATATACAATCAGTTGACAAGTTCTGTTGACTCTACCACAGAAATATTTACTTTCACTATCTCCTTTGCAAACTCCCTAGTCCAAGCCATCTTGGTTGTCCAATGCCTTTAATATAGTCTCTGGGAATAAGGAGGGGCTAGGAGAGGAAGGCAATGGTCTTGGGGGTGACTCCAGACCTATCCCAATAAACGAACATGATCTGACCTCTCCGCCCTCACCTCCTCCCACTACTCCTGTCACTCTCTCTGCTCCCTCCACCCGCGCTGGCCTTCTGGCTGCTCTTTGAACACATCAAGGTCATTCCTTGCTTAGGGCCCTTGTGCCAGTTGTTTCCTCTGCCTGGAAGGTTTTTACCCCAGATTGTCACTGGGCTGCCTCCCTCTCATTCTTTAGGTCTCAGCATTACAGCCACCGTTTCAAAGAGGCCTTCTTTGACCCTCATCATCTATTCACTGACTTGCTTTTATTTCTTCTGCATTGTCAAAACCAATCTCATTTATTTACGTGTTACTTTGTTCATCATCTGTCTTACCCCCACTAGAGTGTAAGCACCAAAAGAACTTAGAGCACGCCTGCAATTTTTCTCTGCTGTATCCCCAGTGCTTCTAACAGTGCTTGGCAATGATAAATATTTGTTGAATGAATGAATGGATTTGTTGACTGACTGTTGAATGAATTGTCCTGGGCACCTACTGTGCGCCAGGCTCTGTGCTAGTGCTTTGGACATCAGTGTCTGTGCCTCCCAGCATCTCTGTGGGGGAGATAGAGGTGTCACATGAAAACCTTGGAAAGACCTAGAAAGGGCAGGATGGATGACTGTAAAGATTTTTGCTCTTGTTTCTCTATGTGCATGTGGGAGAGTTGGAATCACCCATCTTGTACCTGCCTCTCCCCTGCAGATAAAGCTTACTTCTGCCAGGACCGCTTCTACTGGCGTGTGAATACCCGGAATGAGGTGAACCAGGTGGATGAAGTGGGCTATGTGACCTTTGACATCTTGCAGTGCCCTGAGGCCTAAGGCTCACCATCCTGCTTCAGCACTGCAGTGTGGGGCCCCATGGGGACCATCCTGATGGGCAAGGAGCCAGTTTGCCGGATACAAACTGGTGGGTTTCCTCTGGAGGAAAAAGGACGAGTGGAGGTGGGCTGGGCCCTCTTGTCGCACCTTCCTTTTTTTGTTGGAATGTCTTTAATAAACTTAGATTCTCTAACCTTGAGATTTATTTATGTATATATGCATGCATGCAGGCATGTACATATGTATGTATTATGTATTTAACAAATAGAATGCTTACTTTGTGCCAAGTGGTGTTCTATGTACTTCATAAATGTTAACATATTCAAGGGCCGGCCGAGTGGCTCAGTTGGTTAAGAGCGTGAGCTCTGAGCAACAGGGTCGCTGGTTCGATTCCCATATGGGCCAGTGAGCTGTGCCCAAGCTGAGCTGCTGCTGAGCTGCCAACAGGTGGCAGGATGGCTCAGCTGGTTAGAGCACGTGCTCCTAACAACAAAGTTGCCGGTTTGACTCCCGCATGGGATGGTGGGCTACGCTCATCTGCAACTAAGATTGAACACGGCACCTTGAGCTGAGCTGCCACGAGCTGCCAATGGGTGGCTGGATGGCAACTGGACTTGGAGCTGAACTAGCTGCACCCTCCACAACTAAGATTGAAGAACAACAACTTGGCTGTTCCCCTTCCCCAATTCCCAATAAAAATCTTTAAAAGAAAAAAAACACACATATTCAATTATTCCTGTTAGGAAAGTACAATGTGATTATTCCTGTTTTACAGCCAAAAAAATGGCTAACCATTCATCAATTTTTTTTTTTTTTAAGCTGAGCTATCCTGTTGGCAGCTCAGCGGCTGCTCAGCTCGGGCTGGCAATCGAACCTCTGTTACTCAGAGCTCAAACTCTTGAGCGAGCTCTTAACCAACTGAGCCACTCGGCCGGCCCCATTCATCAAATATTTATTGAACCCCTGCATGAGCCAGGCCCTGTAATGGGCACTGGGGATTAAGAGATGAATTGGACTACGTTTCTGTCCCAAGGACCTCTCAGTGGCCCTCAAACTTTAGGGTTCCTAAAAGTACCTTTAGAACTTCCTTAAAATGCGACTCCAGGCTCCGCCCCCCAGAGAGTCTAACTCAGTTATAAGTGATTCCGTGGCTGGTGGGGATGGGATTACACTTGGAGAGTGTGCAGTGTGTGACCCTTTATCCTAGAATAAAGGCGCGTGTATGTGTGATTCTGTGTGTCGTGGTTGAAGTCAGGGGACATTCCCCAGCCAAGATGACATCTGATCTTGAACTGACGCTGGAAAGATGAGCAAGAGTTCCTGTATAAGACGGTCTTTCTAAGAGTTATTCACAAAGAACTATTAACCTAAAAATGTGCCTATGCTTTAACCCTCACACACATGTACACAAAACAACACATAGAAGGATGTTGTTGCAGCAATTTTTGTACAGTGAGAAATTGGCAACAACCTAAGTGCCATGGGTAAAGTAGTGGATAACTAAAATATGGACTATATGCATGATGATAGTGAAACTGACAGTTAACAGTAAACATGATTAGGTATTAGATCTTGGAGTCTAGAGATACAGGTATAGGCTTTAACTAAATGTGTCAATTGCTTTGGTTGTCACTTAGCTTATAGTCAAAGATTAAGAAAATATGTTAGTCATGTCCTAGAGGCCTGCCTGTAAAGCAAGTTCCAGGGAAAATGTTTAAAAGTACACTTTGCTTGAGATAATAGAAAAATGTATTTAGTTAAGCACAAAACAGTGATAGTGTAAATAATAACAAAAGTCACAAGGTGTTTAGTTTCTGCCTTTTGTTCTAAAGATAACATCACTGATGCACAATTATGAGATATTTTGCAGAATCTTGGTTCCTAAACCTGTTTAGATCACCTGACCACAGTGATGAAGACACCAGACAAGATGATGTCAGGAACTAAATTAATCAGACTAAGGAAAATTGCTGAGGTTTGCATGAGAACTAGCCAAATCAGCTTCACCCGTGACCCCTAAATCCTAACCCTCAATCTTTGCCTTTAAAAACCCTTGACCAAAAGCCATTGGGGAGCTTGGATTTTAAGCGCTAGCTTGCTGTTATCTTGGCTTGGTGCCCTGCCAATAAATTGCTTTAATTTCTCCGTTGCAAAACTCAATGGTCAGAGATTGGCTCTGCTTCTCGTTGAATGGGTGGACCCTCTTCTATTCGGTAACCATAGTAGCTACCCTTAGTAAAGCACTGGCTATATACAAGCATTGTTCCATGTGCTTTCTGTGTGTTAACACAGCTAATCCTTAAAACAACCCTATGGAGCAGGTACTATTTTTACCTTATAGGTACTATTACTGTTTCCATCACCACCCCCCACCACCCCCATTTTACAAATGAGGAGACTGAGACACAGCTCACCTGAATTCTCATAGCTGGTGAATGGTGACAGTGGAATTTGAATGTGGGCTCTTGGTGCAAATGCTGGGAGAAGAGAAAAAGCAGGCAATGTTTGGGGAACTACAAATGGCTAAGAACTCTGTCTAGTGTGTGGTTTTAGCAGGTGGATGAGAGGGGAGTAGAGTGGATTCTGGAATGATGGTCTGGGCTAGACAAGAGAAGTTCTGAATGCCAGGTTTAAGAGTGTGGATTTGACCCCAAGGATAGCAGAGGGACTTGACTGAAGGATGAGGCAGGTGAGTGGAGGTAATGGGCTTGGTCAGATTTGATCATCTTCTTCTGGACCTGGGGCTCAAGCGGGAGTTTAAGGAGGGATTCAGAGGACTTCCTTCCCAGTGTCCTCCGGGTGGAGTCCTGCTCTCCTAATTCATCCATTTCTTGCTCAAGAATGACCCACTCTGACAGGCATACAAATATTCCTTAATATGGCTTGTTTAAAATTCCTCTGGACCCCTGAGTCTCTCCAGACACTATTCTATTTCTCTACTTTTCCCATTTATAGTAACACTTCCCCAAGGGATGGATTTCTAATCATTGTCTCCACTTCTTCAATTCCCATTCTGTCAACTACTTCCACCCTGGCTCCCACCCCACCCCACCACTGAAATCACTCTCTTTAAAGGCACCTAAGATCTTCCTGTAGCCAGATGCAGTGGGTGCTCCTCTGTGCTCATCCCACACCATCTCTTGGGGCACTTGACAGAGTTGATCACGTCCTTCTTCCTGAAATTTTTCTTCACTTGGTCTCTGGGGCAACCTTTACTCTTGGTTCTCCTCCTACCCCACTGGCTGGGTCTTCCTCTTTCCAACCTGTAAATGATAGCATGCTCTTGTGTTTAATCCTTGGACTTCTACTCGGTGTAGTCATTCCCTGTGATCTTGTCTAGCCCCACAAGCTTTAAACAGTATCCCCGTGCTAAAGACTACAACGTTTATATCTCCAGCCTTAACCTTTCCCGTGAGCTCCTGACTTGTATGTTCATGCCAACTCTGCATGGTCCTTAGGGGACGACAGGCATCTCAACCTAACAGGTCCAACTGAATGCTTGGGCTCCACCTTCCAAACATGCTTCGCCATCATCATCACCTGCTCTTAATCACGCTTAAAACCTGGTCAGTCCTGAAATCTAGATACCTATTAAACTCCTTATTCTAGTACAGGGTTTCTCAACCTCCGTACTATTTAGGGCCAGATAGTTCTTTGTTGTGGGGGACTGTAAAATGTTTGGTGTCTTCCTGCAGGAGGTAGCGGGATCCATGGACAGATGCCGGGCCCACTTAGGGTCATTCTTCCTCCTCCTACCACAGCCCTCAACCGTAGGGTGGGTGGCGGAGTGCAGGGAGCTGATGGTAAACCTGTGGCTCATGGTCAGGCAGCCGTGGTACAAGCCTAGATGGTGCAAGTAGCCTCTACCACTAGATGCCAGTACCACCCTCCCTCCCTTTGTGACAGCCAAAAATGTCTGAATATTGCCAGCACAGCGGGCACTAGGACCCTGCGCGGCGTGGCGTCCGGGGGGCGGCGGGCGAGGAGGGGGGAATCCGCTCTTTCTGCCGCCTAGAGCCAGGCTGCGGCCACTTGTGCGATCCCGGCCGTACTGCGGCCGCCCGAGTCCTTTCCGCACCATGAGCCGCAGGTTCACTGTCACCTCGCTGCCACCTGCGGGGCTCGCCAGGACCCCTGATCGAGAGTCCCACCGGCATTCGGCCGCTAATATCCACCAGCTCTCTGGGGAAGACGCCAAAGGTAGAGGCCGCAAGGGGCGGGGCCTGCCCGAGTGGGGCGGGGCAAGAAAGGGGGGCGGGGCCACGGTGGGCGGGTCTTTTAATGGAAGGGGCGGGGGTCCCAGCTGAGGGCCAGATAGGGCAGAGGAGCTGAGATCTGGGGGGACAGGAGGGAAGGGAGATGAAAAATTGTGAAGGGAGGGGCCAGATTCGAGGTGGGCGGGGACACAGGAAGAAATTAGGGCCAGAGGCGAAGGGGCGGGTCTTCTGATGGAGTGGATAGGGTGAAGGGTGGTAGGCTGAAGGGCGCTTAAGGGGAGGGGCCATCTAGGGTAGGAGGCAGGACCAGAGGGGAGAAGGTGGAACCAGGGAAAGGGGAGGGCCGTGTGATTAAGGGGTGCGTCTAGAGCCAATGGAAGGAGGCAGGACTAGCTCGGTTTGGGGGCAGTAAAGGGCGGGACTAGAGGGGAAGGGGTTGGGCCAGGAGGATAGGGGTAGGGTCAGGCTGGGGGTGGGGTTGGGGTTGGGAGGGAAAATGAGTCCGGGTCGTTGAGGCAGATGCTGGGTCAGTCGGTCATTGGTGCCTGACGCATCCCCCAATTCTTGGCCTCCCTGGATGCGTCGCGGACAGCGCCGGGCATCCCGGGAAGAAGATGGGGAAAAGAGAAGATAGTTTAGACCCCGGGCAGCTAGATCTTTGGATTTGTGGGGACTCCAATCCCGACCCTCACTGAGGACCCACTTAGTTCTCTCTGCTCCAGCTTCAGAAGGGTTGGGTGAAGCCAGTTCAGGAGGAATTGAGGACGTCTTCCTCGAGGGCCCAGTGCAGTGGTCTTGTAATGGAAGTTACACGCAGGGTACAGAAGAGAGAGGAGGGGCAGAATTCTTCTAGCCTTCGGTAAAGAATTAGTATCCTGGATGCACACACAGTCTCCTCCGCAGGGGGCACTTGTCAGGGGTCCCCTCCCTCCCTGGCTCTGTGTCCCTCAGGTCTGGAAGGAACGTGGCGAATCGG